GTTCAGTAGCCGACATATAGTGCATCATTAGCTACATCAAAAACTAATGATGAGCTGCCACTTTTCAACTGATTCTTGGTTTTCCAATTATTAATACTTACCATTTGGAGGGACATTTCTAGAATCTTTTTAGTAGTCAATTGCAAAGCTTAACTGCACAGATCTACTTATCCACGTTAATACAGAATTAAAAGTATGCTCATTTCTAACAGAGGTATGCAAATAAGTTCTTTAGTAAGCCTACAATATGCAAAATTCACAAGCATTGCTACTTTAAGCCCAGCAGTAAAATCTTGAAAAGAGAGCAATTTATAAATTCCAAACTAAGTAAATAAAGTAACAACTGATTCTGTTTAAAAAATTAGAATGTTGTTTTTTTTTAAATGCCTTTCTTAGAGAGCTTGTTCAACTAGGTATGTTACGAAGAAAAGCATTACATGGTCAAAGTTTTGGAAGTGCTACACATCATATCCCAAACTTTGTTTGGTTATGGAAACCTTTGTGTATAACATTTTTCAAGAGAATAATTTGTGAAGGTTTTACAGATTACTAAAATTTATTTCAAATGATATTCTTCATATTATATTAGCTTAAATAGTTCTAAATCAACATTTATGCCTTGAATTATACCATAAATAAATAAAAAAACCATTTGTTACAGGAAAGACATAACTGGATGAGACAATGAGCATATCATATTCCGAAATCCTAGTCTGGGAGTATCCTAGTCAAAGGTTATGCTCCATAAACCTAATGACCTTCTTTCTGCATGGTGGCAGAACAGATATTTTCAAAATTCATTTCAAAATCAATTGATCAGGATTCTACCTACTTCAGTGATTTATGAGTCAAGAGCCTCCTACCTAATATATGACTGACAGTCTGGCCTATCTCAAATCCATTCTTCTTCAGAATGCTACTAGTCATCTTCTAAAAGACACACTGATGGTAACACTCCCCTACTTAAAAATCTTTCCATAGCTCCCAAATTTTCTTTCAAAGCAGCAAATTCAAAATTCTTAATGTTGCACTTTTGGTTCCCATCTACTTTTCCAAATTATTCTGCTGCTTTCACACTACCTGTTGTCCCAGCGCTAGCTACACAAGGTAGTTACTATTCACAGATTGTTATTTCATGTTTCCTTCCCTCTGGAAGTCTCTTTCCCCTCTTTCTTTTCTCCATTTGTTAGATTACGACTCATCTTTCAACACCCAAACCAAAGACTATTCACATTGGCAATAATACAACATACTTTTCATATATGCATTTAACTGTACATTTCAGAAAAGTCAATACTGTATTTAATTATGGAATAGAATTATGAATACATGAACACTACTGACTTTGATTAGTCTTTTTGTAGTGGATATGCTATAAACTCACTGCTATCTCTCATAGATTTAATTCTTTTAATTCTTAGAGTCAATTTCATAGATGCTTACTAAATACTAAATACGTGCTAGACACAGTCTTGTTCTTAAGACTGATTTACAGGGGCACCTGGGTGGCTCAGTGGGTTAAGCCTCTGCCTTCGGCTTGGGTCATGATCCCGGGGTCCTGGGATCGAGCCCCGCATCAGGCTCTCTGCTTGGCGGGGAGCCTACTTCCCCCACCCCCCCGGCCTCTCTCTCTCTGCCTACTTGTGATCTCTGTCTGTCAAATAAATAAAATCTTTAAAAAAACAAAAAACAAAAAACTGAGCTTACAGCCTTTACTACAGCTAAATGCAAAAGCAACAGTACGTTAAGTGGGATTTTTCCTCCTGTTCCAAAATTGTGGCTAAGGTCAAAAGCCGAGGATAATTAAGTACCCCTTCTTTTAGCTTAAGAAGCCAAATGTAGTTGGTACCAACTTATTCTCTCAGGATTTAGTGAGAAGTACTAGTTTACTGAACCAGCTCCTATCATAACAATGATCATAACACTTTCCCCTCAATGTGAATACAACGTGAATCTAAAAAGGTTAAAAAGAAAGAGGAGGTTACTGGACTTTAAGGGGAACAAAGAGTTTATGAAATCCTATGAAAATAGGATATTCCCTATTGTCATTCCTGAATCCAGAGAATCAAAGTTTGAGATTATCTAAAAGAAAGACAGACCCATTTTTCATTTCCTATTTGGTTATCTGTATAGGCAAATGAATTACTGATTTGCCCCTCTTATATATAAGGGAAAAGAGAAATAGGGAGAAAGTATGGTAGGGATGTGTCAGGTAGAGACATAGGCAAGACTATGTCCTGGTTCCTGGGGCCTTATTCCAAGAGGTATGAAAAATGTAACCTTTCCCCCAATGTGCCTACAGGCCCTACTGGAGGTAGATTTCATTGTGAAGTCTTGAGGCAAAAAAAAAGACATACACATCAGAGTCCCATGGTGTGAATGCCATCATAGTCCACAGATGTAATCAAATCTTCCAAGGGATTGCCAATGCCTATAAAAATGGGACAGGACTGACCTCGCTTTTAGCAGGGTAAATGGAAGCTACCACTCACCTACATTTAGACTACTGAAAATGAGCTAGAACAGCAGTGTTGAACAACCAAGAAAGAGGACTGCCACCTCAACAGTGGGATAGCATGTAGAATTCTGTCTCCACTATTACTCCTCCTAGTTTCAACACCAGGAAGAAAAACAACAAGAAAAGGGGAGGGCAGACGTGTGTGATAAAAAGAGTCCACTCACTCACCCATAAGTTTTCAGCCCTAGATTAAGGTCTATACTGTCCTAGGAAAAACTGGTAAGAGTACTGAATCAACTCTGTGACTCAAGTTATAATACAAAGACAACTAATTCTTAAATACTGGCCTGAAACTGGAGTGTTTATACACTGCATAATAGTGACAAGATGCTGCAAAGGCGATTGACATACAATCAGAAAGGGGAGTCAGACATGGTAGAATCGGCAGGCAGTTACTAGGTAAAAAGCAAAACTGGCCAGTGTTTATATCCCAGCAAAATGAGATCCTTAATGAACTGGTTACCAACAGATGGATAGCCTCTGAAATTAGTTTCCATATATACTGGTGTTCTTAAATCTGGGTATGAGCTCTATTATACTATGAAATATAAGTCTAGAACCAGTCTTATCAATTTTCCACTACCATTTGCTATTCTTTCTGAAAAACGGTAAGCAGGTAAGAGCCATACTTCTATGTTTGGGAACTCACCATCAAAGTCACAGATAGGAATGGACAAATAAGCATTACTAACGATGGAGGATGCTACAAGTAGCAATAGGCATTTCAAGTAATAAAGAGAAGGAAACGGATAAGAATAAAGTTCCTGAGCAGAAATTAATTTGATATCTCAATGCTTTCAATGTTCACCTTTTAATGATCCAACCAAAGAAGAAATCCACAAAGTGGCTTATCTGACAAAGAGCAAAAACTAGTATATTGTAAATGGACACTGTTCAACTGCATGATACAGAGGAAGACAAGTGAAGATTCTAAAGAAAGAGAGTAGGAGAAAAACAAGTGAAGGCTGGTCAGGAAGTGGGACCTAACGGGGGCTGTACATGGAGGGTGGACAGGCATGGATGATAGACAGAGCAGAACAACTCCTAGATGGATGAGAGACAATAATGTAAGCGGCTGTGACACATTGCAATATTAATACATACCGAGACTGAACTGCGGGTAATGCTCATAAATCTAACTGCAATTAGTACAGGTTTCTGGATTAGGAAGGACATGAAAAGGAAAGCAGAAGGTTAGAATGTACATGTCATTGCCCCATTAAAAGAGAAGGTTTAATCTTTCAGATGACCAAATATATCCACCTTCTGAAGCACCAGTTTAAAAATTAAAAAAAAAAAAAAAAAAAAAAAGCACCGTATGTCTAGCTGCTTTGAAAAGTAGCATTAGAGTAAAAGGCCTCTTCCTTTTCTTCTTCTAAATTGGGCCTCATAGAACTGAGCTCCTGAAAATTCAGACTACCAGACAGGGTTTCACTTTTAAATGGGGTCTCTGTTTTCATTTTCTAAGGAAAAGATTTTCAAATAATGTCCTACAATTAACTTCATTTAATACCTTTACTGCCTGAAAAACTCAATGTTTATGCTTGTTTTTAGAGAAGACCCTTCACTAATTTAATCAACTGACATATTTGTTAGGATTTATTCTGTGCCAGGCAGTTTAAGTACTAAACAAAGAAACAGAGTATTTTAATCTAAGTATAAATCATGATGATATGGATGAAGCATCGCTGGGTCCCTGCAAAAGCATGCACATGATGACAGGGAAGACTGTTCTTCTTGAGAGATTTACTGGGGATAGGACTGGGTCTTCATTACCACAGTTTTGTTTTACAGTTGAGGGGAGGGAAAGCAAATGATTAAACTTTAAGGCAGCAGTTTTCCAGTTATCCAGGCCCTACTGATGGTTGGTCATTAAGAACCGAAGTTGTCTATATATGGGTCACTGGTTACAAAGGAAGATGTTAAATGGGAAAGTGGGCAAATGGAGAAAATAAATGATCATTTTTGCAAGGCTTTCCCCAAAACCTAACAATCTAACAATAAACCCTTAAAAATGTTTATTTGATAACAATCTACTCATAGATGGAATTCCATTTCCTTATGAATCACATTTTTGGATATGATTAAGTTCTTTACATCACAGAAGTACTGGCAGGAACATCAAAGGTGACATGGTTGAGGGTGGGAACAGATGGTAGAAGGAAGTAGAGGAAAAGTCAGGATAGGTTAAATTTTCACAGGAAGGACAGAAAAAGAAAACAGGACAGATTATTAAACCACAACATTTTATCCAAATACTTGATTTTAAAAATTCTACACATTTAACTGCATATATTCTGTACATACAAGGACTAAAAGATCAAACATAAGGCATCCATAGTACCTTGGAATAGAGTGGTTTCTTTTTACTGTTCCGTGTGAAAAAGATCTGGAGAATAACCTCGCTTTACACCATAAATGCACATTTAAAATCCTCAGGAAGACTCCCACTTTCCCCTGAATTCCACATCTTACATCTTACCATTGATCTACGAATCAGTGACAGCCTGGTCTTTGCCTTATTCTCAGCAAATTCCAGGCTACTGATGTCTTTGAGACGAGCCTTGTATTTATTCATCTGTTCTACAACAATCAGCTCCACACAGCTGGAATAGGAGGAAAAAGAAAAAAACTGTTAAGAGCTGAAGCAAGTCAAATAAAGTATAGCCCTCCCAGACTGCTTTTCAGTTAAATGTGGCAGACGTTTGGAGGATGAAAGAAAAATCAACATTCCTTATTTTATGAGCTCTAATACAAGGTTTATATAATGGTGGTTCACAACTTTGGCTGCACTTCAGTATCCATCTGAGAAGCAATTATGAGTTGCAACGTCCAGGCTACACCCCAGATCAATTAAATTAGACTCTCTAGGGATAGGACACAAAGACTGGGATTTTTTAAAGCTCCTTTTGCAGCCAAGGTTGAGAACCATTACTCTAAAAGGAAAGCAGAGGCCCACAAAAAAAAAAAAAAAAAAAAAAAACCAGACTAAAGTGAAATACAGAAATACTGAAGTACTAAGGCCAAAGGGATTCAGAGCCAGTTAGACTAAATTATAGGAAGAGACAAAGTATATGTAATTTGATAAAATGGAATCTGAAAATATTTTTAGAGACTATAAGCATTCCTAAAGAAAAGCTAAATTTAAAAAGACCCTTCAAACCAAATGATGTCCAGCTGAAGAGAATTTAAAGCAATTTTTCATCCTCAGCATAAGAAAACCCAACAATGCCTAGTAACCTTCTTAAAAACATTTGAACTTATGAAATCATTCACTATGTTTGATATCTGGATAAAGTGGCTACACTGACTCAGAAGTCCCTGGGGTCTTGTGGAGGTAAGAGTAACTGGCCTTACGTGGTAGTCTTACTGATGTCCTGCACGCTTTGTAGTGGGTCAATGGTATCAGGGCATCGAAGAATGCAGGGGGCAAATACAATGGCCAAAGCATTAGCAGACATTCGATTAGTTTCTTCCTGTAGAGCAATCCTAAGGAATTAAAAAAATCACGAAAGTGGGGATTAAAAGAGAAAGCAGTAAGGATGTAGGCAAAGGACATGACAGAAAGAAGATGTACGACATCTGCCACAGGGTACTGGAAAGATATTCATATCAGCTGAAAGGAGACATTTGTAGACTTTCCCAAAGCTGTTCTTTGCCTCTGGAAAATGCAATACAGGCCAGCAGAAAAATCCCAAGGGAAAAATCCCAAGGAAAATTTCTGACCCACTGCCATACACCTGAGGAACGTATCTGAAGAATCCAGAGTAGAAACTATAAGGCATTCTCAGACAGTCATATCAGATATTCACCTAACATTTATGTAATATTTACCAGAGATTTATCTAATCAAAATAAGGATGGCTCTCTTCCCAACCACTGCAGATATTTATACTCAGAGTAGAGAGATCATCCTGAAGTCTCTTTGGTCAGTTAATTCTCTAAACCCCACCTCCTATGAATTACGTTATATCAAGACATATACCTCTTTTCTAATTTCTAGTTCAAGAATGAGAACAGGCTAGGCTACACAGTATCACCATGAGGTTGAAGTTGTGACATGGCTCAAATAGGGCAGAGAAGTCCCTGACCAACAGTCCAACTCAGCTGAGGATTTCTGCTCCAAGGAATTGTAAGCTGTAAGCACTCGTTTGAGGCATTAACTTTATAAACAGGAAAAAGAAGATCTGTCAGTTTTCCAAATGAGGGACTTCTTCACTTACTGGAAAGAATCCAAGAAAAACAATTATACATTCCCTTGCTCCTTGAAATTACCTGACTAGATGAAAGATGAGGCGTTCCAGTGTATTTAGATGAGTTCGGGAGAGCTGGTCAATCACAGAGTATACACCACGGATTGTTTCTTTCCTCTCCTGAAGGCCTAAAAAGATTAAGGACAGCCAGTAAGATTGAATATCCCCTCTCTTATGCTACATCTTCCTCCTGAACAGATTAGGTAGCAGGGAAGCCTGATTCTAAATTTTAAAGTTTTAGGAGAGGCAGGTGTACCTGTATGGCAGGAAAAGAGCAGCTCCGTTACCACTAATCTTCCTTTGCTTGAGTTCTATATTCATTAAGCAGTCTCATGAGTTTTAATCTATATCCCAGTAATCCTTATTATAGCAAAGGGAAAGAGATGTCCTAGTTCTTTTAGACATTTTGTGGCAGACTGATTCCCTAATAATTAATTGCCAGGCAATTTATAAATTGTTCTTATGGGAATTTGGGAAGTCATGCCTCAGGGCCTAAACACTTTGAGGCAGGCCTCCAGCAACATTCTACATATCTGCAGCACTGAAAAACTAAACTCCATCACCTGGTAGGGTTGGCATAAAATAGCAGACTTCTTGCCTAGATTTGCAATGTAAGTGAACATAAGCCAGCCCTTTTTAGTTGAAACCTCTTTGTGAGAAGCAATGAAGTGACTTACTCAGAAAACTTTTAGAGAGACTGGCATTTTAATGAATCTCTCAAAACTCAGTATTTGACTAGATGAGAATACACCATAAGTTCTGTATTGACTGTCAAAAGCTTACTTTTGAATCTATATGGACTAAACCATTAGAAAATGGCTAAATAATTTATAATAAAGACAGCGCTCCTTTCCCAAGTGTAGGCCTTCCCTCGAATCCAGGGGGCCTGTGCTTACCCATAGCTCGAAGAAATTCCTCATAGAGCTCAAAGGTCATGAGTGGATTGGGCAAATCACGAAGCCATTGTTTGAATACACTTGCAATGACATGTATGTTATAGTCATCCAGGTTTACACTCTCAGCATCTATTTAGAGACATGAGTTAAACAACAAAGCCCAAACATACAAAGAGTTTCAAATAATTCACTTTCAAAACTATCAGCACCAAAAGAAGCCTTCATGTTCTTAATCAAACTAGTATCTTCTACGATCTAATTCCATGCTTTGTAACAGCACCTCTAACTGTGGTCAAGGAACAGGTTTTTGTTTTCCAAATCTCCTGTAGACTGACAGGTATGTAAAATAAAAAATCACATGCATTCATGTTAAATAACTGTTAAATACCACTATAAATGTTTCTAAAGGCTTGCTCTTAGTTTCTGTACTTACACTGTGGATTGATCTGTGAGCCACGCTTTGAGTAGCAATGTTTTGGACAGCAGCTGGGAAAAAGGCCCAGAAGACATTTTCTAAAAGTAACGCCAATTTTAAGTCATTTTTAAAGGTGAAAGGACAGTAATAAGTGAACATAGGAAATGTAATGAACATACTTTTACTCTCTTACTCTGTTTTCACTTATAAACTCCCCAAGGTTATACAAAAGAAATGATTGGGAGGATATAGGATGAATGATTTTTTACTTGTGCTGAGTACAAGGTGCAAGAGAGACAAGTTGTTGTCAACTGCCTTTAATCTAGAGTAGATGGAATCTCTGGTAGGCAGGATGTCCTGCTTGAGTTTTACCAGGCATTTTGTGTTGTTATTTTCATACTGACTAATCTCTCCCTGGTTTGTTCATTAAAAAACAAAAGAAAACAGGGGTGCCTGGGTGGCTCAGTGGGTTAAAGCCTCTGCCTTCGGCTTAGGTCGTGATCCCAGGGTCCTGGGATTGAGCCCCGCATCCCATTGGGCTCTCTGCTCAGCAGGGAGCCTGTTTCCTCCTCTCTCTCTGCTTGCCTCTTTGCCTACTTGTGATCTCTCTCTGCCAAATAAATAAAATCTTAAAAAAACAAACAAAACAAAAAACTATAAGGAAAAAGCACGTGGGTAGCTTTTGGAGACACAGAGACCAACTTTGTATCTAAGTGTGATTCAAAACAATCTATTCCAGGGTGCCGGTGGCTCAATAGGTTAAGCTTCTGCCTTTGGCTCAGGTCATGATCCCAGAGTTCTATTCAGCAGGAAGTCTGCTTCTCCCTCTGCCCCTCCCCTGCTCCCTCTTGCTCTCTCGCTCTCAAAGAAATAAAATCTTAAAAAAAAAAAAAAAAAACCAAAAAACACAACAACAAAATCTATTCCTTCCCTATAGTAATAAAGAGTAGAAGTTGACAATGACACCATAGTCCCAACTCCTGCATATACATTCGAGGGCTGAGGCTATAGCTCTACACAGGTAAATGTTCAATCCACTAACTAACAGTTTAAATAACTATGTCATGAATGCAGGAAGGTGAGAACATGCATCAGAAAGATACTTGAAGTCAGAGTAATAAAGATTAATAGGCAAGAGTTTAGATTATGAATTCAGAACATCTGGGGTTAAATCCCAGCTTCATCACTTATTGGTGGTGAGTCTTCGGGCAAGAAACTCTGTAAGCCTCAGTTTCTTTCTCTGTAAACAGGGATAATAATCCCTAATTCACAGGACTGTTGTGAAGATTAGCATAAAAATATCAGTACATTACATTATCATCAACAGATCATCATTTAATTTCCCTGAAGCTAAAATTTCTCCTTTTTAAATTACAGATACCATGATCTTACCAAATTGTTAAGAATTTAAATGAGAGCTATGTCAAGTACCTAATAGTGCCTTGTACAAATGATACACTCAATATATATTTGCCAAATTAACCACACAAAAACAAAGACTTTTAGAAAGCCACAAAACGATTAATAAGCACCACAGAAAAGATGGCATTCTTCCAGATGCAAAAAAATAACATGTAATGAAAACTTGAAAAGCATGACAAGATTTAAATAAAAGCATTTGGTCTTGATTTGAAGAGCGCCATCTTACCTGTATCTAGACCTTGTCGAAGCTCCTTGATTTTATTAGTTGAACCAGACTTTCGATAAATCCCTTCTGTGTACAGTCCATGCATTTCAATGTAGTTTATGAGCTTTTCCACCACTAAAGGAACAGTTCGTTCTTCACTGGTCAAACGGGACAATTCAACCCCGAATTGTCGAGATGACAGCTCTGGATCATACTAAATGGAAGATAAATTTTTGTTTCCAAATACATTCAAACATCTTTAAATGTGTTTAACCAGTTATTTATGAGGAACTACTTTTTATTTCCCTGAAGTTTCATGAGCATCGTTTTAAGAGTTGGAGCTAAAGGGAATTATGGTTAATACTGACAATATATATCAAGTCAAAGGTTAGCTTCAATCCTTTCCCATCAGGAATCCACTCAAAATATAATGGGATAGAGAATGAAGGCAGTGGCAAAGGCTACTGTTTCCCTTCCTCTTAAAAAGCTCTTCATGTAAAGTTGGGATTTGGACAAGGGAGAAGGGATAGACTGTGTATGCTAAACATGCTTAAACATACTGCTAGAAAGTCTGGTTTGATATGAATTAGAACTGTAAGTAATTTCTGATGCTTAAGAAGGCTTCAATGTTCATGTAAACTTTAGGGACATTTAACTGAACAACGATATCATAGCTAAAGGCAGAGGCACACAGATTGGTCCACAATTCGTGTTCGAGCCTTTTCTTATTTACTTCAATAATGTATCTGATATCATACATAACCTTACTAATTACAGCTTATGCAACTGCTAAAGACTTATCCTGAAGATTATTTGAAGTAATTCACAAAAAAGAAAAACGCCAGGTATTACCTCTGAGACTGAAACCTTCTTTGTAAATCTTTTTTGTCTCTTCCTTCTCCTGCATCATTCTCCTTCTCTACACAGCACACATTCTCTCCGTTAGTCCTCAATCAATCAGTGCCAAGTTCTTGTGGTCAGTCAGCACACCCTATTTTTTCTTTTCTATTCTATTGCCACCACCCTATTTCAAACTTATATGACCACCCACTTGGACGATTTCCAACAGCTTCTTGGTGAATTTCCCCACATCCATTTTCTCCCCTTTTAATATACTGCATAGTATATATAATCTAGTTTCCTAAAAACTAGTGGTTAACTAGTATATATCAAAATAAGGTGTAAATATTCTTGAGTCTAACATTCAAGATATTGCTTGAATTGATCCTAATCTCCCCTTCCAGTCTTATGTTAGTACATTTGTCATTTATGTGCTACGTAACAGGAAAACAAAATCAAGTAAGAGAAGATAGTCTTCACCCTAAGACTAGTGTTAAGACTAGTAGTGTTAATGCATGGTGATAAGTAAATAGTAACAACAGATTTATTAGGTAATATGGAACCATGGAAGTAAAACAACTGGATTGGGAAGGACTGGGCTGGCTAACTACTGATGACCTTGAGAAGACCTGATGCCTGCCTAACCTAACTGTTAGAAAGCAAACAGTACATAAGAAGAAAGGGCAAGAACTTTTTGGGCACAGAAAACACAGAACAAAGTTGGGCAAAACAAACTATAAGTAATCTGATATGGCTGAACTAAAAATAAGAAAACACTAGACAGAGAGATTACAAAAGGCTTCAAGTACTAAGGCACAGACTTTGGGTCTTGCCCTGACAGCTAAAGAAAGGCAGCAGGGACTTTCAAGTAGGGAGGACATAAGTTTTATATTATTTTGCAATTTCACCTATATATACTCTGCATTCCAGAGCTTAATTCTTAAGAGAATGAATAGCATATCTACTTTGAAGCATGTTAAGTTATCTTAATATAAAGCAGTATCTCTGAAAAGCTTCTCCAGGTCTGAGGTAGAAGAGAAAGGACACTTAGATATTTAGAGGATGCAAATTAAAGGTTTGTCTTGTCACTATATTAGGTTATTTATATAATTTCGTATTTGGAATAGAATTATCATTTTTCTACCTCACAGCGTTCTTATAAAGATTAAGTAACAGATGAAGACACATAGTACAGTATCTGATATATGGCAAACGTTCAATAAACTGTTAAAGAAATACCGCTCGCTGTAATGATTAAAACAAACTTCAAACTTCTTGCTATTACTGTGACATAAACATGCATACATATACACATACATAATCTATTTATTTAAATGTTATGGCTATCCCCAGAGAATTAGGAATGTCAATTAAGACCTGTGAAAGCAAAAAGAACCCAAAATACTAGAGGGTATTAAAAATTTTTTTAAATCATTTGATTTGAAACCAACTAATTTAAGGCAAATGTTAAAAAATTCTATTTCTTAAAATTAAGAGAAATTAATTTCACTATTTTCAACTGAAAAAAAATTTAATTGAGTCTTCTTTGTAAAAACAATATACATGGGGCGCTTGGGTGGCTCAAGTCAGTTAAGCAGCTGACTTTGGCTCAAGTCCTGATCCCAGAGTCCTGGGATCGAGCTCCATGTTGGGCTCCCTGCTCAGTGGAAAGCCTGCTTCTCCCTTTACTTCTGCCTGCTGCTCTGCCTACTTGTGCTCTCTCCCTATTTCTCTGTCAAATAAATAAATCAATCTTTAAAAAAAAAAAACACAAAAAAGCCCAACATATGTTTTTAAAGTTATTTTCCCTCCAAACTACCTTATATATTTTAAATAAAAATTCATTGAAGTATGACATACATACATAAAGGTATACAAACTGTAAGTGTACAGCTTGATAGACTTTGACAAAGTTGATGCACACTTGTTATCAGGACCCAAGTTAGGAAACAGAATACAACCAGCAGTATGAAATTCTCAAAACCATCCCAGCCACTATGTATTTTCACAAATAACCAGCATATGTACTCCTATCAGTAGAAATTAGTTTTACCTACTTTTGAACATTATATTAATGGTATCATATAATATGTATACCATGAGTTACCTTCATCCATTCTTGAACTTTATATAAATAAAATAATACGGTATATGCTCTTTAGTTTCTGGCTTCAACATCATGTCTGTGAGTAAAAATAGTTAAAGCTCATATAGTATTCCATTATATAAAGAGTTGACCCTTGAACGAGGGTTGAACCATACATGTCCAATTATATGTAGATTTTTTTCAGTAAATACAGTATGGGGCATCTGGGTACCTCAAACTGGTTATGCTTCTGCCTTTTGCTGGTCACGATCTCAGGGTCCTGGGATGGAGCCCCACGTCAGGCTCCCTGCTCAGCGGGAGTCTGATTGTCCCTCTCCTTCTGCTCTTCCCCATCCTACTTGAACTCCCTCCCTCTCAAGTAAATAAATATAAGTTTTAAAAACAAATAAATACAGCCCTGCAAATGTATTTTCTTTCCTTATAATTTTTTTATATTTTCTTTGCTCTAACTTACTTTATGGTGAGAATACAGTATATAATACATATAACTTACAAAATAGGTGTTAATCAACAACAGTAGGCTATATAAGTAATTAAGTTTTGGGGGAGTCAAAAGTTATAGACAGATTTTCCACTGTGTGGGGCATGTCGTTCAAGAGTCAACCATATACCATAATTTTTTTATACCATAATTTACTTATACATTCTACTGCTGATGGACATTTAGTTTTCTTCTGGTTTGGGGATAGGTTGGTATTGATATGAACGCTCTTTTGTCTTTTGGCACAAACATCTATGTATATTTGTTGGGTATGTATCTGGGAGTGGTACTCCTGAGTCATCAGAAATCCTTACGTTCAGATTTGATAAGGCCTGCCAAGTAACTTCAAGATTACTTATGCCAACTTATACTCTTGCCAGTAATGTATTAAAGTCCAAGCTGCTCTACAACCTTGTTAGGACCTTTTTCATTTTAGCCGTTCAAGTGGGTATATATCTCACTACAGTTTCAATTTGTATTTCTCTGATGATTAAAACCTTTTCATGTTTATTGGTCTTTTGTCAAGTGCTTGCTTAAGCCATGTGCTCATTTTTCTACACAGCTAACTACCTTTTTTTATTGATTTTTAGGTGCGTTTTAGGTACTGTAGATCCAAGATGGATGTATGAATTGCAAATACATTCTCCCATTCTGTGATAGATTATTTTTTGTTGGTTTGTTTGAATGAGTGAGTTTTGAATTTTATCTAGTGTTTTTCCTCTTTAATATTTCTTATTTGTCCAATGTGAATTCTTATCACTTCATGGTTTTTTTCAGGGAGAACATTTTTCTTATTAATCTTAATTATAGTACAGTTAACATACACTGCTACATTACTTTTAGGTGTACAGTATAGTGATTCAACAATTCTATACATTACTTAATGCTCATCATGGTAAGTGTACACTTAAACCTCTTCACCTGTCTCACCATACCCCAACCAAGCTCCCCTCTGGTAGCCATCAGTTTGTTCTGTATATTTAGGAGTCTGTTTTTTGGTTTGTCTATTTTTTTCTTTCCTTGTTTTGTTTCTGAAATTCTACATCATATGGTACTTGTCTTTTTCTTACTACAGTTAGGATTATACCTTCTAGACCCACCCATTGTTGTTACAAATGGCAAGATTTCATTTTTTATGGCTGAGTAATATTCCATTGTGTATATATACCACATCTTCTTTATCTCTTCATCTATCAATGGGCACTTGGGTAGCTTCCATAATTTGGCTATTGTAAATAATACTGAAATAAACACAGGGGTGCATACATCTTTTTGAATTAATGTTTTCATATTCATTGGGAATATAAAGTAGGGGAATTACAGGATCATGTGATAATTTTATTTTTAGCTTTTTGAGGAAACACTATACTGTTTTCCAAGGTGGCTGCACCACTTTGCATTCCCACCAACACTGCACAAGGGTTCCTTCTTATCCATATCCTTGGCAACACTCGCTATTTCTTGTGTTTTTTTCAGTTTTAGCCATTCTGATGGGAATGAGGTGATATCTCACGTGCTTTTGATTTGCATTTCCCTAATGGTGAGTGATGTTGAGCATCTTTTCCTATGTCTGATGGCCATCTGCATGTATTGTTTGGAAAAACGCCCTTCATTTTTGTTTTTGTCTGATTGCTGTGACAAGGAATTCCAATATCATGTCAAATACAAGTGGTGAATGTGGACATTCTTGTCTTGTTCCTGACCTTAGAGGAAAAGCTCTCAGTTTTTCCCCATTAAGTATAGGTTAAATGTGGATTTTTCATATATGGCCTTTATTACATTGAGG